CAAATCTTTGAGCCTGAATACACTACCAGTAGGCTATAGCTAGATGCTATACAACCCAAACAGCTAACGTGGTCAAAATGCTATACAACCCAACAAGCTAACATGCGCAAAATGCTATACAACCCAAACAGCTAACATGCGCAAAATGCTATACAACCCAAACAGCTAACATGCGCAAAATGATGAAAAGGACCACAGCGTCCTCTCAGTCAGAGTAAATTCTAAAAGGGGAAAAAGCAGGGTCCAGCTCCAGAATCCTTTTTACATGAGAATCCTTTTAACAAGATCTCTTCATAATATATATATATAATATTATGTATGTATATAAGTGATTGTGACAATGTTCATGGTGATCTGTGTTGCCCAGGCGACACTTCTCAAGGCTGTCCAACAAATGGCAAACGTGCACTGGTTGCAGTCATTCTGGAATAGATTACAAGTTAGAGCAAATGACTTATGACCAAGCAAGTCGCGATTGTCAATCATGCTTAATGAACCAACGCTACTACCAACACTCCAAATAAAACATTAACAAAACCTTGGTTTGTGCTTCGTGGAACATCCAGCTCTGAAACACAAATCCATTGCAGGGGAGATGGGAGAAGTCTCTCCTGGATAAGACATGTGTTCTAGACAACTTGGGCCACAACAAAACCACACATCCTGGTCTTTAGGCGACAAATTCAGCTAGTTGGAAGACCTCACCAACTGAACCTGTGGAAGCTGGCTTGGCTCCTTGTTCAAGAGCTGACCTAACCACCGCCTCCCGTGAGTCTCGACTGAGGGCGTTGGGGTGATCTGACAAACGATGCAATAGCCAACTGTCCTCGTACGTACCATTCGTGCCTGGGGATGTGGAGAAGCTTTAAGATCTCAAGAATTCTCAAGAGCTATGATTTTGAGCGTTCTGAACTTACACACTGCCTCGTAGGACCAGGTCCCCCCCAAAAAGAAATTAGCAAGGGCTGGAACAAAGCAAGGCAAACAACTTGTTTTCCATCCGTATGGCTCCTGAATGCTGCTTCAAACATTTCCTGATCCGATGTCATATCGAGCACTGGACAGTCTCCAAAGTCACACTTGAACAACATGGGGTTTTGGCCCTCAAAGCACCACGTTGACCATGCTCATTATTTTTTCTGGGTTCGGGGGACATGGTTCTGGGTTCGACTCCCATGATGCACTGCAGTGGACACACCTGCCTGGCGAAATCTGCCCATTCTTCTCCAAGCACTCAGGCCAAGCGTGGGGCACCTGGCCAAGCGCAGTTTTGAGGCGATGGAAGCCGCTGTGGGAGGATTCTGTAAAAGACTCAACTGTAGCCGTAGATCCACCCCAAATTACATATCATCACTTCCTAAGAAGGTCACCGCTGTCAAATCCTTTCAATATCTTGTCAGGCCACGTGGCCACGGCCAGGGGTTCGGTAGAGTTTCTCTCCACGTGACCTGTGGCTCAAAACTGAAAAAAAGGGGCAGGTGGTCGCTATGGACGCAGGTTACATTTGGTTGCCAAATCCACAGATTTGGGAAAACAGGGCCGATACCCACTGATTCATCTGATTCTAAGTTCAAGCACCACATCAAACTGAGAACAGAAACAAAGGTAACACAAAAGCAATGTCATGTCTGTGGAAAGCACGTTGGTCCCTTCGAGAATAGGTCTTCACATTGAACATGTCGATGTTTCCCCGACCTCTTGCAACTTGGAAGACTCCCGCGTGAACCCTGACGACTCGCTTACGATCCTATCTCTTTCTCGCCTTTCCGACGTCCCACGGCATGGTCAATCAGCTTTTGGAGCTCCTGTCGGAAGCCTCGCATCAAGTGACCAGAGGCTGCATGAGGCGTCCACAACATCCGACCTGATACAACCTGCGTCCTTTTCGATGACTTCGGCGCGGTGGTTCGGCTGGATCTGTGTGGTTCCGGCCAGGAAACGGCCCGCACCCACCGTGACCAGGGCTAGAATTTCAGGATACTGCTGATGGTGCTGGTCGCGCCACCTGGTGACCTGGGATATGGAAATTCAGAAAACCTTTCTTATCGCAGGTGGTGCAGAATCTCTTCCTCCCGCTCCAATATTTTTTGTTCACAGAAAAGGATCGCACCTCGGGGACTCGGGTAGACAACGGTCCATTGAACTCAAACTATCCATCAACAGTGTTACATGGCCTCTTGTCATGGGACTCACGACCGGTCCGCTCGCAGCCCACCAGGCACATGGTCGGAGTCCACGGCACGCCGGCACACTCACACTGCAGGGGCATACGGACACACAATGTTGACAATGATCCTGATTACGATGTTGATGACGATGATGAAGAACATGAAGATCAACATGAAGCTGAAAGAATGATGGTGATGAAGATGTTATGTTGATGTTGATGTTGATGTTGATGTTGATGTTGATGTTGATGATGAGGACGAGGACGAGGACGAGGACGAGGAGGAGGAGGGGGAGGAGGATGTTCATCATGATGTTGGTGTTCATGATGATGTTGAGG